GTAAATGTTTTTTTTTGAAGATTTTTATTAGAAAAAAAAAATTCCTTGATTTTAATCATTGACGGATTTATTTATTTTGTGAATAAAAATCACCAAAGATTTGATTTAAATATAACATCCGGTAATTTTTTTTTATTGTTTTGAACAGCATTTTTAAACTCTAATTTTTCCAGTTAGGGTTAGGGTTAGTGTTAGGAGTTAGGGTTAGGGTTAGGGTTAGTGTTAGGAGTGTTTAGATCTTAAAACCCTATATTATTTTTTTCATATTTATATTGTTTTTTTCTGAATGGGCTTTTCTAATTTTAAAAGTTTAATTTTTGTTGGAAATTGTTATTTCGGCCGAGTAGAAAAATTCGAAGGCGGATTTTAATTTATATTAGTTTTGGTCTTGGATTTTATAATATAAAATTTTAATTTGATCTTTAAAAAGATCAACTGGCGAATTATCTGATAAGGGGAAATATTCTAAAACATGGTGTAATGTATTTCCGGTTAAAAAATATCATATTTTTTTTTTAAAAAAAGAAAGAAAGAAAAAGGAAGAAAGAAAGAAAAAGGAAGAAAGAAAGAAAGAGGAAGAAAGAAAGAAAGAAAGAAAGAAAGAAAGAAAGAAAGAAAGAAAGAAAGAAAGAAAGAAAGAAAGAAAGAAAGAAAGAAAGAAAGAAAGAAAGAAAGAAAGAAAGAAAGAAAGAAAGAAAGAAAGAAAGAAAGAAAGAAAGAAAGAAAGAAAGAAAGAAAGAAAGAAAGAAAGAAAGAAAGAAAAATAACACCTTTTGAAAATGAAAAAAATTCATTGATTTCTTATATAACATTAAATTTATACAGCTAAAAATCATAAATAATAAAAAATAAAATCTAATAAATAGGATACACATACTTATGGTAAAGTTTTGGCCGAAGCATTTATGGAACCATATATCACCCTTAACGTACGGAAAAACGTCTATTTCATATTTACTCTTCTCTAGTTCTCCAATAGACAAATCGTTATTATTCTTTTTAGTCTACAAACAAAACAAAAATAAATATTCATTTAGTAAAATTAAAATGTATTTTCTAACCAAAAATTCTTTTCTTGAAACAGAAATTTTCTTGTAGTGATAAATTTCTACATAATAGCGTTCAGCTATTGGATACTCATCCCAATTTAGGCTATAATTTCCATGAATTTTCTTCAGAGTTATATTTCTCTCCGTCTTACAGACACTCTTCGCTGACGACAAATCCTTTGTAGCACAGTAAATAGCTATAGAAAGGAACAAGATCTTATTTAATCCTCTTGATGCAAACATTATCCTATTTTTTTAGGAAAAATTAAAAAAAAATTTTTTAATAATAATAATTTTTTTTAAAAAAACAATTTCTTCTTCTTATATTATATATTATGCTAGTAATAAAATATAAGTTTATTATGTTTATTTTTTGATATTATTTTAGAAAAATATTTTTTGAAAATCCTGCAAAATTCAGATAAAACCTGTAAAATCTAGAATGGCCCTATCTCTATCTCTATTTTTATTTTGTAAAATTGTATTATTTTTTCTTCTAGTAACTTCTATAGGGGGAATTTTGTATATTGTTTTATTGTTGTTATGACTGTAATAAGCATCCTAAAATTATTTTTAGTTTTACTTTATTTTCTATATCATATAATTTATATTCGTTTTTTTTAAATATTTTGTTAGCTATCTTCCTTCTTCTGATTTTTATTTTTGCAGAATATGCAGAATCTGCAAAATTTTTTTTAAAAAAAATTTTATATACGTTTTTGAATAATATCGTTTCCGTTTTAGAAAGTAATGTAATAAATGATAAATTATATTATTTATTAATCTAATATTGAGCATGCGCATCTAATCTTGGGCGTTCGTTAAAAAAAACGTGGATAGATATCGAATTTAGATTAATTTAAGTATACGCGCTTAACAGGTCGATTCAACTCGGGACCGTAGTTAGAACCATTTCGTTTTTGAACATCAGGGAAGGGGGGCAACACAGTTTGCATCATTGAAGTTTCCGGAAGGGGGGGGGTAGTACAGTTTAAGATCAGCAAATCACGACTCCGGTCTATTTTTTAAAAATAAAAAGTTCGGTTATGGGTCGTTTTGGGCTAAAAAAAAATTTAAATATGAATAACATTAATAAATTTAAATATATTTTTTAAAAAAATTCTGGCACAAAAAAAATAAGGCCGCTAATATATTTTTTTTGATTTTAAATTTTTTTTTCTTATATTCAAACTTAAATTCGGGCTTGGCGGAAGAAATAATTTTTCATTTTCTTTTTCCGGTCGAGCTTTTCGGTACAAATAAAAAAAAGTATCGTTCGGTTTCGGGCCGGGCCGGGTTTGCTGGCCCGGGTTTGAAAAATTAGTCCCGATGCCTGTTAACCAAAGGTACCCTCAGTAATAAGAGATCATAGTCAGTCATTGACGTAGGGGTAAGTGGGTGGAATTCTTCCTGTTATTTTTTCCTCGTACACTAAAATGATACACGAGGTTCGCCATTTTTATATGCATGGGATTCATGAACAGCTGTTTGGAATATAAATTGGGATGACAAACACTACGCGATATATTATATTTAATCTAGAGACGAAACTAGGAAATTTGTGGGGAAATTGTATTTTTATTTTTTTAATTTCCCTAACCACCAAAATATTTGTCTTTATATTGTCTATTTGTTTTCTAATAAGTTTATTAATATAATATAAATCGGAGACCTCGTAGAGGTACCATTTGCTCGGCCCGGCTCGACTCGGCCCGACCCAACCCGACCCGGTTTGGCCCGACCCGGATTTTAAATTTTTTATAGCGAATATGGGAATTTTTGGAATCTTCCAGCTCGTAATTTATTTACCAAGAGCTATTCGTAAATTTTGTAAATTTTTTAAGATGCGATTTAACCGGATATATATTCCGGCATATCTTCTCCTGAGGTTATAATCTACATGCTAAATTCTCTGAATTCAATAAAATTGGAACAACCAATGGAGATATATATATATATATATATAATCTAGTTAATGTATTTATGCTTTCTGGGGCTAATTTTTAACCATAAATTCAATTCTATTTTGAATTGTATTTTAAAAATTTTTTTTACACATATCATATATTAGAACAAGTACATTCCAGTAGCATCACTAGGAGAATGGTGGAAGAGTGCAAAGAAGGTCTATCCCACTGAAAAATTTGAATAGATCCTTGAAACGAAGAAGGATTTTTTTTTAATGGCTCCCTAATATTCTCCACATGATGTAATCTAATTATAATTTTGTTTTTAAGAAAGCTATTTTTTTTCCTTCTTTGTAAAACAGTTTTGAGTTTTTTTGATATTATTACAAACTATATTATTATTTTAAAGACATACTGTTACCAACTAGAGGTGGTGCGAACAACATTAATATATAAAATCTTAATTGCTTTCATCATATCACTCTGGGCTCATTTTATAGTTACAAAATGATTCATTTCTAATATGGCATCCTTACCGTGTAAAATAACTCGAGGCTTCAATATATTTGCGTAATTATTTCTTCTAATGATTTTTAGCGCCTTTTGCTTTATCAATTTATATAACATAATAAATTTCTGATATGAGTGTTTAAACCGTGAGTGTCATGACTATGACAAGAAAGCGTTCATTATTTGTGTGGCTATGTAATTTAAGAGTATTACTCATGCTGCTGAGAGCATTTGATCATTGCAGAATTTAGACGAGAAATAACTTCTAGTAGTTCATAGATCCTTAAAAATGGGAGATAATCTATTATATCTCACAATAATTTTCTCGATTACTTATCTAGCTTCCATAATGTTATCTAGGTCTAACTACTATATAGGTTTATGATTATGATTTTTTTGATTTTACCTTTATATTCTCTTCTTCAAAAATTATTGATTTGGTTAGGCCTACAAATTTTTCCTTATTAGTAAATAACCTTTTGTCAATGTAGGTTGTTAAAAGTTATATTGCCTTGTGTGGTTTTTAAAAAACCCTATTAACAGATGTTAACCTTTTTTTTCTAATCACTTGAATTCTTTAGATAAAAAATTTTTTTTATATGCGTAATCGAAATATTAATATTTCAATGAATGGATAAATATTTTGTATTAAAAATATTATCTTAAGAAATGTCTTGTATTGTTTTACTTTCATTATTTGTAAGCTTAATAAATGACAAAATATGAAATTCAGAATAGTTCTTCTGCAAATTTCAATTAAAAAAATATAATATATTTATACAAAACACGGTTCGAAGGCCAGGTAAAAGCAGGCCGAAAACCCGCAAAATAGAGAACTATGAGGGACGAAGCCCCCCATAAATATTTTTTTAGTTGAGCCCCTTGAGATTGTAAAGGCTAGTGACACCCCTCCCCTGGCTACATTTACAAATAAGTTATATCATTGATGCTCTCTATTACATTAGGTAGTTAACCTTATATATTATTATATTAATGATAAATATCTACATATATAGTTATTATAAATCAAATAATAAATTCATAATTAATACAATTATATTGGTTTATATTGTATATATAATATCTCCAAGTGCTCAACTTCTTATTTTCCCGTTTATTTTTCCCGGTTTCCCCAATACTGAGATTCCATGGAATTTTACATAACTAGTCTATATTCATATATTACTATCGCGATGTTGACCTGACCTTAACTTATGGTTAAATTTAATTTTTTTCGGTCGATTTTTAAAAATGGTCCGATCAAAAATATAACTAAAATTATGAAAGTCTGAATATTTTGTCCATGCCTAATATGGACAGCTCAGTAATACCGTCTCACCTCTTTTCTGTATTGACAATTCTATAATTTTTAAGTTCAGAAAATACAAATATTATAAATTAAGTAATTTTAATTATATTATTATCCCTTTTATTTTAACCATTAAAATAATATTTATTTCTTTGAGAGTAATTGACCTATATCGCATGCACTCATTATTTTAAAAAATGAAAAAATTATTATGGGTAAGAAGATTTTCATCACATGTGAATGTCAAAACGCAGCCATCAGAAAGGATTTACCATTATAATCCACATCTTATAGAATGGAATGATAGGGAGAATTTATTACGACTAATAGTAGATAATATTATTTATAATAAAGGTATATTATTCCAAATTTTAAATGATAATATTGCTTCTAGACGGAATTATCGCTATCAATAAACCCTGTGGATTACCAATTTCGGGTACAAAAATTGTTAATAACAAATAAATATAAATTTTATTAGGGTCAAGTGCAACGATAACTGAGAAACATGACATAACTCCACCCGAAGTGTTAACTTTATCTGACATAGCTCCAGATTTATGTAAACATTTACAAATCAATGATATAATTATGGTTAAATCATTATTGAGGTATAAATAATGCATTGATATTAATTAATTTTCTTTTAATGAAGAAAATATTCTGGTATTATATTGTTATCCACTGATAAAATAATTGCTGAAAAGTTACAAAAAGCACTGTCCTATAATAAATGTCAAAAATTGTATAATCAAATATTCTGGTAAATGTTATGATATATTTACTTTAATATGTTATCATAATTTTTTTTAGCATATTACATTCTCTTTGGAAATTTGTATTTATATATATAACATTAATTGTTTAATATTCTTTTTGATTAGTCATATTTATTTGATTTTTTAAGGGCCTTATGTGTTGGTGTACCAGTTGCTGGATTTTCTAATGGGCAAAAGGATATTTACCTAAAAGAAATTAAGACCAAGGAAAATATTAATAGAGTAATTAATTTTTTTTAATGTCAAATTTTTCTTATTTTATATATTTTTAAGTAGAGTTACATATTTGACCAAAAATATGTTTCAGTAAATGACAAATATTTGACTGTCAAATTCAAATATTTTAAAGTCAATATTAACTTTAATTTGCATATAATAATAAAATTAATCAATAATATTAATTTTAAAATATTTTTTTAAAATTTATTGTCATTCAAATAACCAATATTTAACTCTCTTTGGCAGAGTTATTATTCTAATTCATAATCCATATTATCATTTACTTTAATATTTTTTAATGAATAATTGACCAATTTCTTTCTGAAGAAGTAGAATAAGTAATTGTTTGAAAAATGCCACTTGCATGGTTGGGCAAAGCTCATTCCACTCACTTGAGGCCTGAATTTGATTGTTTTTTATAGATGCTACTGCTTTCCATATAATTTTATATTTAACATGCTGCCTTTACTTCTTAAATTCATGATATCACTTGACATATTTTGATCATCACCACATTCTAAAATGCCTAATTCTTGTATTATATCACATACTTCATTAAATTTATTACAGGTGAAATGATTTACTTAGGGACCCAATAAAAAGTGGAAGGGAACCAAAACTTGTGAATAAAATGGGGAAATTAAAAATAAAGCCAAACGATTTATAAACTATTTTAGATTTTTTTAGGTCAAATACTCCTCTGGTCAATTGACCAACTTGCCAATCATGTTCCTTAAGGTCATGATTTTGCTTATAGGAGTATCATTTTTGAAAATTTCTATTGAATCAATTAGGGTATCTTTTATGTATATGTTATACTTCAATCACATAAATTAGCCAATATACGCATTGCCATAGTCAAATCGTGTAATATCTTTTAACCTTACAGAAAAATTATATTAAGTATAAGTTGATAAATATGACACATTTTGCCAAAAAAATATTCCAATATATAACGCCTATAAGAATTTTGCACTGATCATTATAATATATTTAAATGACATATGGAATATCGTCTGTATTGGAAAATTAATTTTTGGAAGTATAAGTGGTGGTAATACTGTATTGTATGGATAAATCATCAACAAAAAATAATACTATATCATACTGAGACCAGGCAAATTTTTTTTATTTAATCATCTTTATTTACAGATTCTATGAACCTTAAACCTCAATCTTGATAGCAATCATAAAGACTTACATTAAAGAATATAAACTTAAAATCAGCCACCACCCACCTTTAAAATAATTAACTTATACTGCAGTTCTTGGCCTTAGGCTCTTTTTCTGCTCCACTCTTTTTCTTAATGCCTATGGACATCTGTAACATTTTTCGAAATGTTGCATGTACAAGTACATGCGGCTTGCCCACAAACGTGTAAAGGGCTCCTCATATTTTTTTAACTTTACACCCCAATTAACTTATGTTCCAAATAGATGGAAATGAGGAAAACCTAGCGTAGCTCTGTTGTTTATTCAACGTCAGAGGGCATATGCACTATATATCACCGATCATGGAAATGACATATGTTATGGTATAGTTAAATTATAGATGCTTTACTAAAGTATAATAAAAATTGAAACCATTGGTATCTTTACAGAATTCAAAATTAGATATGATATCAGATCGGTAATCGGCCAATCTCAATTTAATATTGGGAATTTCGGATTGTATCGGCCTATAAAAAGTGGTATCGGTAAACCCCTACATTAGACATTATTCATAATGTTTTAAATATAGCATTACTTTGTAAAAATATTCCTTTTAAACATGATATTTTATCAATCTGTTCATTTAAAAAAAACACAAATCAGTATACGATGACAGATCAGATCAGTAATTCTCTCATAACCAGGAGGGAAGTTCACAAGCACGACATAGCCTGCGAATGTATTTCGCGCAATGACGATACCAATTCATCTTACTTTAAATTTTCCACTAATTCAAGTAAGATATTACAATAAAATGGCTCATATAAGTAAGTAAGCAAGCAAGACAAATTGCTCCCTCACCCCTCCCCCCACTCCTTTACCAAAAACACAAACTATTCTATATGCTGACAAAAATACTAAATTCAAATATATCCAGCCCTTATAATTAAAATGATAAAAAAAAATTAGTTGATATTATTAATATCTTTCATTGATTTAAAGGAATATTTATATATCAGATCAAAGCAATCGTATTTTTTTAAAAAAATATTGGTTATTGGCTTGTATTTTTTTACTATCAGCACGTTCCATGAAATGTTGTCTTAATTTATTTATGAAAATACAATTTTATATAAGTTTAAGATAATCTTATATAGTTGAAATGATAATTTTTTGAAGAAACTAAATAAATAATTGGATATTAAATTTATAGGCCAATAAGAAAATAAAAGAAGAAAGGGATGTCAATCATTTATTTTTCTATTTCTTTTGATTTTTATGATATTCCCTAAATGTTAATATTGATGAATTATATTTCCTGTTTTTTTTCCAATGAATATACTACATTATTATTTTTCCTATAGATGATATTGACCAATACCGTGTTAGTATCTGTTTGGTTCAATAATATTGGCCAATACCGTGTTAGTATTGGGTTGATATCGAAGTTATTAGCCAATACCGTGTTAGTATCATTTTGATATCAATGATATTAGCCAATACAATACTAATGTCGATGGTATTAGCCAATACTGTATTAAGTAAGGTACGATGGTTATTGATCACAATATCATTTTAGTATGGAATTTACTTCCAGCTCAGATTTGAGAGAAAAGGAAAAAATTATTTTAGCTCTCTTCTAAAAAATTTCCAGAGAGGGGGGAGGGTGGGTGAGTTATTTTGCACTAAGCCCATAATTTTTTTTAAAATTATTTTTGTCATTTTTAATAATTTTTTGCGAACCGTTTTTTCCACGAGGGGAAAAATAAAATGCCAGCAGTTGAATGAATGATTTAAAAGTTCCATTATTCATATGATTTTCCAGCTGATTCTATCGTTTATATTTATTTTAAAAATGGCCGGCTCATTCCGGAATGTTTTAATTGAAATATTTAACTACTAAGTGTTATTAATATAAGTTAAGCATCATTGCCTCAACATATTCGCTGCTCAGAAATTGTTATGCCCAATCCTCGGAGACCATTTCTACTCCCAGCAGCTGAAATTTCTGAACACTTTTAATAGCCGAGTCTTGATTCATCCATCCGAATGTGAATACAAATCGCAGGTTAAATTAATTTATATTTTTTTGAAAAATAAAAATAAAAAAAACTTTTTTTTTTCGTGGAACTATACTGGTCGGTTTAACCCAAAGACATGTAACGATACCTAGACTGACATAGCATTTGAAATTGTCGTTGAATGCGAATCAGCTGGACACGCCATTTTTGGTAAGCCATATAATAATTATTCTCGTGTGTTTAAAACTACTATTAAATTGATAACTCGCTCAATTATTTTCTCGATGATCAGGCTATTCTTTAATAAAGTTTGCCTCAGTTAAATAATGATAAGGGTTAAAATGGCGTCCCCAGCTGTTTTTCACTGATGTATACACTTTTAATGAATGTCATCGTCAGTCTAGGTATTATTATATGTCATTGGTTTAACCAAATATCTTGTCCAATATATCGATTAATTAAAATTCACCAAATATCTTGTCCAATATATCGATTAATTAAAATTCTTTTAATTTCCCGCCATTTTGGTCTATAATTTAGTTATATAAGATTTAGAATATTTCTAAAACAAAAGTGAGGTTAAAACTAAATGTTTTCCTTACACGATAAAATTTATTTAGCATAGGCGGGCCGGATCTAATTTTTGATTTTTCGGGTAGGCTGAGCTGAAAATTTTTGTCGGGAGTTCGGTCAAACTCGGACCTATAAAATTTGGACCGGGTCTAGCCTAAATATAATGTTTTAATATATATACGTAGGTAGTGAAGGAAGATATTATATAAACAAGTTATCGTAATGGGTCATAAAAAATAATTATTATTATCAACTCAAGTATAAAAAAATAAATATAAAGCATTTGCCTCCTCAAACCAAACGAGCTTTGTCGCCATTGTTTCCCAAAATAGACTCGCCTAATTCTTCTAGCGGCCAGACCTACGATATCCCTTGCATGCTTCATCTGGGTTCCTTGACTCTCAGAATTCCTTGGGTAAATGATAGCAATTCTGCAGAAGATTTAACTATCAGCTGCCCACCACCGCCCCTTTTCACCAAAACTAAAAGCTTATTGGAACTCGACTAAATTTTTCCTGATTAACTTTAATCGTGAAAGCAGATTGTTGTGTATATATATATAAATAATAATTTATAAAATAAATGAAAAATTATATTTTATAATTATTTCTTTAACATGATGTGCCAATCATGTCTAGGGACATTACTATGCGAGTTGGAATCCTTGAAACCTATCCAAAATATTTTTAAATTTAGAATTTTAAAAAATGATTGACAAAATTATTTATATTTGACATTGTAACCTTTACCTACTGAGAAGGGACAGTTTCAATCTCGCATTGCATATTTTGATATAAAAAAAATGGCATAAGGTTATATCTTAACCAGTGACATATAATAATAACTTGATTGACGGTGCATTCATAATAATGCATTTAAAAGCGTGCAAATCAGCTAGGCCTGCCATTTTGGTAACCCATATAGTAAATATTTCTCATGTTAAAGACTAATATTTAAATTGATAACTAGCTTCCTTTATTATCTCGATGATCAGGCAATTTCTTTAATAAAATTTGCGTCAGACATTGGAAATAAATTGAGGCTCTCTGTTAAAATTTTTTTAAATAATGATTATGGGTAATCAAAATGGCGTCCCCAGCTGTTTTTCATTGATGTAACACTTTTAATGAATGCATCATATTTTGGGTACCACTTCTTTGGTTTGCTTTTTTTAAAAAAAAAAATATATATAAATTTGATTAAGATATCTTAAGTAATACGCTTAAAACGAATCTCATTATATTCGGACCTCTGTATATAACCCCTAAATGACAAGTTAGGTGGCTATTAATTGACAGTTCATCATTTAAACATGCCAATTTATAGTTTTATATTTATAAATATAATAGAAGGTTGATGATGCAGCATAAGTTGCCGATAGTAATGTTAAACGGCTCGTTTTGGGCCGATTTCTAAAAACGGCTAACTCACTATTTTAGCCAGAAATATATTGTCTAAGCCTTGAGATTTCGATAATATATGTATAGACCTTGGTTCCCTCTATGAGCAAAATCTTAAGGCTTGCTTAATATTTTTCTGGATGAAGTATTGAGTTGAGCCATTTAAACAACACTAGTTGCTGAGAAGTTTTTATTTGTTTTGTTTTTTTAAAAAAAAAAACATTTGGATGTTAGCCTTATTAAAATATCATAAACGCGAATAATTTAAGACGTATTAAAAATAAATATTATTCATATATATATATATATATACGAGGGTAGCGTAACCATATTTTTATCCAAAAAATATTCTAATCAATCTTCAAGTTGAGACTTAAACTTAGAGGCTTAATTCATTTTTTTAAGGCCTAATAGCTTGACCAAGCCTCGGTAGAGATATTCAAAATTAGGTACCCTAACAACACCACGGTGTAGGAGAAGGAGGGAGGATGGGGTGGTATAGGTTTCTAATCATAAGGTATTGAGAAAAAATATTGTTTATATGAGAAACAATGATATTGAATAAAATAAGATTTATCTTCTTCTCCGTTTTATAGCGATCCAGGTTTACCCGGGCCAATTTTTCCCTCTGATATTTTAAAGGGAAACCCATTTTTTTTTAAAAGATGGATTTTAAAAACGGGAATAGACGTTATCTTAAATTTATCATCGCCCGCCTTACGTCGAGATCTACACAAAAAAAGGTGTTGGAAGTTTAAAATAGGCGCGACTTATAGCTGCCTAAAGGGGGATTGATGTCAGGAAAGGCATCCGATTGCTAAAAACCTTGCTACAAAATATCCTAATGATTAAATCAGGGGGAAAAACTGGCCAACCTGGTAATCGCCATTAAACAGAGAAGACACCGAGCAAATTTCACTCATATTTAGATATGCGATGCAATGTCAGTCATATTTAGATATACGATTTTGGATGTTGAAATTAGAAGTCTAGATATAAAAGAATTTTTTTTTAAAAAAAAATTTCTAATACCTAATTTGATCGATTCACAGAATAAAGAAACTTCAAAATTGTTGAAAATTTAGTATAAACGGAACTACGTAAGGTAGAAAATGGATTTCTAAAAAAATTGATACGATAATAGAAGTTATCTAAATGTCTCGATGTATATTGCCTACTTGTAGATTTCGACAAATATATGCCTAAACATTTGTTTCCTTCTACGAGCAAAATCTTCAGGGATGGCGTAATATTTTTCTGGATGAAATATTAAGTTAGCCATTTTTAAAAAATCGCCTAAAAATTAGCCGTTTAACAACACTAGTTTGAATGACCTCTCTTTTTTTTTAAAAAAAAATAAGAATAGACCGTGGGTTTTCCTTGATACAAGATAGACAACCAATTTATTTTCGAATTTATTACAATTTTAGAAAAATAAAATACGATTTTCTTCGAGTCATTAAAAGGTCCGAGGAATTATCCTAATTTAAAAGAAAGTCAAATTTATTATATAAATATAATTTGCGTAATGTTGTGGGCGCTCCGCTATAACAAAGCAACGCTTGGTTCTCTCAAAAAACTAGTGTTGGCACATTTGAAGCCGATTTTTCAAAAACAGCTGACTCAGTATTTTAGCCAGAAAAATATTTCCTACGCCTCGAGATTTCGATATTATATACGTCTTAAACCTTGGTTCCTTCTATGAAGCAAAATCTTCAGGGCTGGCGTAATATCCTTCTGGATGATATATTGAATTAGCCGTTTTCGAATATCGGCTCAAAACGAGCCATCTAACCGGGAAACAAAATGAATGGGGATGCCTACGAGCAGGACCATCCACGTTTTGGGGGGGGGGGGGGTAGGCCGCAATTACCTATAAGCGCAATAGGGCTAAGCTATTTCCTTAAGCCCCCCACCGGTAGAAGATTGATAAAAATGGCCATACCCGACTAAATAAAAGTTATGATTATAGGGGGGGGGTAGTATTAATTAGCACTGAGGCAAGCATATATTGACTAGACTAATTATCTTTACACCTTGAAGATAATCCATATTTGAAGATTCAATATCCATTCGCACTGCTGGGAAAAATACCAAACATCATAAAATTTGCAAATGATTTAAAAAAAAAATATGAAGCTATAAGATAAATCTACTAGAAATATACATTAGCTAAAAAGGCAAGATCAAATGGTTATTTTCTTGAATTATAATAAGGTATATTATTTAATTTTTGTGAATCCAAGCGGATACTTAGGATGTGGCAGTTGCGGCACACAAATTCATACAATATAAAATACGAAACTATTATAAGATCTAGCAAGAAGGTCTGTTACTTATGAGTAGCGTTAAACGGCTAAGTATTATGCAAGCCTTAAGATATTGCTCAATAGGTGGCAACAAAGGTTTGAACATTTATTAACGAAATCTCGACGCTTAGAACAAAACTCATCTGGCTAAAATACTGAGTTAGTCGTTTTCAAAAACCGGTTCGAATCGAGCCGTTTAACAACACTATTCGTGCCCACTTTGGAATTCGATACACCTCGTGGATGCATTTGTACACTGACATAATATGTCGCAATTTAGAGGAAACAAATAATTTTCTAAAAATTTTCATATTTTTTTGATTTGATAATAATAATAATATATTTATGATTAAATTTGAAAAAAAAAATTTAAATTTTACTTTCTCTAAATAATATAAATAAATAAATATTGACAAAATGAAAATGTGATACAAAATTTGTTTTTATATATAAAAAAAATTTATGTATATAAATAAACTACGCATCTAATTACCGACAACAATTTTTTTTTTCTAAATAGTTAATTTTCAAAGGTTTATCGAATTTTCCCGATTTTTGAGTTTGTACCACTTTGGGAGCAAATCTTGAAATTTGTAATTATTAAGGTTGATGATCACTTGGCCGAGAAAAACGTTCTTTCCAAATATTTCCCTGTGGTAGACTCCTATCTCGAGACTTCGATTTCTTAGTTCATCTATGTAAACGGGCCGGTATTCCAGCATTTCGTTGTAAATGGGGTTACCGGTTTTGTGCTTGACTCTCGTCTTCCTCTTGGAGGCTCGTGTTCTATCGGGCAACAGGTACACCTTGACGTAAGGGTTGGGGACGCTCATGGAATGCTGAGTTTCGTTAACATCAGATGTGAGTAGCGTGCTATGGGATCTATCGTGATGAGGGAATACGGTGCTCGAGACAGGGGTAACGTTAACGGAGGGAATCGTCTTGGATGTGGATTCTCTCCCGATGTTAGATGCGGAGGTTGTAGGCAGCTTCTTGTCGGAGTCCTGATAATCACTGGCAGACTCGGAATAAACCGGAACTACGCGAGTCGCAGATACGTCGGATCTGGGAGACGTATGGGCTTCCGATAATTTTATTTTAGAATCCCCTTGATCGTCATACTTATCCGCCATTTTATTGCGCCGGCGGTGAGGTAAAGGGGAAGTTTTGCTCAAAAGAACGGACATCAGATGAGATGTGCTAGAGGAGGCTTTTACGGTGGCCTGAGGAATCAACAGGTTTGTTTTAGACATTTCTGATTGGCTTAAAAAAAAATTTTTTTAACATGCATTATTCTTAGTAATTATTCCAGGAGAGAAACATATACTTTAAATAATAACAAAAATTTTTTTTAGTTTGTTGTAACTAATTTTAAATGTAACTGCCGCCCGTAACTTATTACTTTTTTTTAAAGGGGGTTATGTTATCTTGACGCTAAAAAAGTAACTGAATAAAATTTAAGAAAAAGGATTTAACCGCAGAAACGGGATTTGGTTGATAAGGAATTCCCAATGTATAAGATTTTCGAGATCTTACTAGTCATAAAAAATATTTAAAAAAGTATCTAACATTTTAAAAAGTAACTAACATTTTTTAAAGAAGTATTAATCTTCAAATGATATTCCTTTTCTCTTCTATGCGAAAAAAAAAGGGAGAATCAATGAATCCAAAAAAAATGATCATTGCAAGGGGTTTGCTGATGAGATCGACAACGATATTTAAAGCGTTTTCAAATTAAATGTCGAACCGGCCCAATATTTTTTTTACGGGTCGGATCGAACAACTTACATGTAATATAATACGGGTCGGGCTTAAAAACCGGAAAATTTTTTTTAGCCGCCGATCCTTAAAATATACCGACGATTTGTTGTTGTATCAAAATAAATATTTATTTTTAATGTATAGCTGCTTTTTGTTCGCAAACTATAACGTAAATTATTAGGATTTATTTGACTAATTTTTATTGGTCACATTTCGAATAAGGTAATTTGTACAATGTAACTGAATTACTTTTTTTTTGGACGATACTTTTTTAAAAATCAAAGTTACCTAAAATTCAGGTCTGTACATGGTTCTTAGAAAAAGAAAAAGTGGGTAATAGTGAAACCCGCTTGTACCCGTGTAAAAGAAAGGGGTTAAATATACTAACACGCTTATATCGTCGGTCCTATGGGGCGAAGCTGTTGAATTAACGGCCGAGGACGAGGTAGTATGCCTCCTTTTTCGTGCTTTGAGAGAGTCGGAACCGATGGCTCGTTTAAATTTAAATGCCGCGAAGGGTGAAATCGCGCCGGCAAAATGATGGCGAGAGCTCGTCGAGGGCGGGGACATGGTAGATATCCTTCCTCCTATGGAGTGACCGCTATGATTGCTCGGGAATTCTTGGGACGAGGGGGAGACGACTAGTCCGCGGCACTCAAGGATGTGGACCTCGAGGGATTTGTGGGTCAGCTTGTAATGCAAAGCGAGCGAGATCTCGCCGAATGCCAGTTCTAACGTTCTATCACGGCTGTGCGCGAAGCTGTCGAAGCGGGGAAGAATGTCCTGTTCGCCGCTGGTGAGAGAGTCGGTTGTCATGCGGTGATGAGCGGTGGACGGAGGGGAGGAGATCATCCCGCTCGTATGATCGATCCCCCCCAAGACAACGGAGTTGTGTACGGTGGTAACGGGGTATACTCCCGAGTGGCTTAATCTTTTGTCAGAGGATCGAGGGGAAGGTGAGGCTAGGGAGGCACGGGTTGGAGCCAGGGAGGCGAATGCTAGTTCTATGTCGGTGTCGGTGCTATGAGAAGATTTAACTGAGCTGGCAGTGGAGATCTGACGAAGAGCGGACATCTCCGACTTGGCGCGCCGTGTCTTATCAAACTGGTTACCCTGGTCCACCGCGATCTGTTTGCGGAGCGTAGAACGTTTTCCAGTTGTCGTCGCACTGCTGTTTCCGCTTTCCAACGAGGATTCGTAATTGGAATCTTTGGCAGCGGTATTGAAGCGGGTCCTGAGATAATTTTCTTCAGACTTTTTGTTTAAATATATTCCTTCGACGGGTTCCGGACTGCTGGTATCGCGAGTGTCGGATGATTTTTCCGATATTATTCCAAATTCTTTTTTTTTTTGAGGAATGTCGATTCATATATAAAATATATAAACGTAACAGAATTTGATTATAAACATAATAAAATTTGATTAGAAACAATGAGAAAAATTACCCTTCAAATTAACTTAAAATACTTGAATCACGTATTTTAAACACTTTTCAATTTTTAATTTCTTTTATCTAACCTGATAGAGAGTTACCTTCTTTCGAGCCACCCGAGATGGAAGTCTTGGAGCGATGAGAAGGGAACAATATACGGGAGAACAGATTGGTCCTCGGAACACAATGCCCCACTTGGAATTGTTCTGTAGCTTGGGGCATGTTGATCAATTGCTTGATCGAGCTAACGCACCTCGAGGTGGCGTTCTGTATGGACAGGTTCAGCTTATTCTTCATAGAAATAATGGAATCGCTCAATTTGCGTTGATTGCCTCTGGCTTTGTGAGTTTTGGATAGGTGGCTCGGTTGCGAATTATTGTGGGTCATGATTCCGAAATCCCCGCCTGAATTGTCGTCGCCACTGTCATTCTCGAATATCTTGTATAGCGGTTCGGGTAGCGAAAACCGGTAAGGAATTTTGGCGGACCGAGAGTTTGTCGTAGATTCCGAAACGCTGGAAACATTCTTAGATACAGGCTCATCGCTGCTCTTGTAGAGCTTGTTGAATGCGACCAACCTCACCAGGGAAACCTTTCGAGCCCTGGCGGGTAAGGCCAATTTCTCGTTAAAATTTTTAACAAGTGAGTGCTTCAAGTATTTTATCGGCGATGAACTGATGGAAGAAAGTTTTTTCCTGTATCTCAGCGGGATGATAACGTGAGATGACGGTTTGGTCTTAGAATCGGGTTTGGAAGCAGTTATAACTTCTATATCCAACGATTCGGAGTTGACGGGCATTTTGGTAGTACAAAGAGGGCGGATAGGGTGCGAATACGAGGCGGCCTTCATCAAGTAAGGTTGAGAAATGGAAGGGCAATCCGAGGCCTTAGTGATATCGGGCTTGAGGACCATACTAGGAGGTTCTAACATCTTAACCACACCCTGTTCGAGTCTAGGGATCGTGTTGGAAAATAACATATGGGTAAAATAATCATAGTCCAGAGTGAATATTCCCATGGAATTCATAGTAATACCGGCGGGGAATTTAGAAGATACGAGATTTTCCGGATTCGATTGAACTTTGGCGCTCAACCCGATGGCAGTGGAATAAGGATTCTCCTCATTTAGTTCGCAGCCTTTAGCGCTACCGTCTTCCCACCACCAAATCCGCCTTCTAGGTTGTTCGATCGCGGACCCAGATTCACTGTCGAAACTCTTGCGCTTGGTCCCGAAACCAAAGCTGAAACTATTTAGTAATGATCCTTCCGCATCCAACGAGCCTGTCGTCCCTCGGTATAACATAGTGTCGCTGTGAATGGCTTTTATACTATCCCCGATCCCTTTTTTATCCTCCAGGATATCTGGAACACTCCTAGTTTCTTCGATATCAGAAAGGGGCCGGTTTTCTATGATTACGCTATGGCGTGCCTTCACACCCATTTTGGCATCTTCATCGTCCATTTTCTCATCGTCGCCGTAATTCGTATATAGTATGTCCTCCCCTTGCGGCTTTGCGAATTCCTGGACAGGAGTCAATGACGAAATAGGGTCATCGCCTCGAGAGTTACTGTGATTGACGGGTTGACTCGTTTTAACGAGATGGAGATCATTTATGCTGTCGTGGTCCAGGGTGAACGAGATCCCCCCTAATCGTGTTGGGTCGACGTTTGTTAGGTTATCTTAATTGCAGAGTGGGGGGGGGGGATGTGAAGATGTTCATATATTTTTTTTGAGGAGCAAAAGCAAAAAGAGAATGGAATGGGAAGATTATAGGAAAAAAAAAGAAGCTCTTAGCTGAATTCTTTCAAAAAAAAATAATCGCTTTTGACAAATGATTATGGATCCACAGATTATCAGCATGAGTGATTTTATAAGAGTTTAAAAAAAAAAAACAAATTACTTTTTCATGTTCGGTTAATATCTAACTTTTGGTAAAAATTTTCATAGACAATTGGCAGAAGGTTTTAAGAAGAGTCATTTTTTCGGACTCCCGACTGACAGTTGGAGGTCGATCCGCGAGATTTCGGTTTCGGCTGCGCCGATCCCTACCGAATAGTGTTGGTTAAAAAGCTCGATTTGGGTTCGATTTTTCAAATCGGCCCGATTAAAGATTTTAGCTAAAATCTAATATTATTGTTAGCATCGAGATCTGTCAAATAGATGTTCGATCATTTTTTGACAGGTATCAGCAAAATCTTTAGGCTTACACTATGTCACCCGGATTTTTTTTTTCGCGCAATATTCTTTTGGCGCAAAAAAAATATCGGGTTACCCGTTTATTGGCAGAGTTTAAAAAATCCGATGCCGCTTCGGATTTCGAATTTTCCAATGAATTCCCGGGTAAAAAAATTTGATCAAAAAAAAAATCTTCAAAGATTTTCCGTTACTTTTTTGAAGAGCATTTTTGAAAGTTTGATTAAGAGTTTAGAAAAGATTCTACAATTTACCGGTTAACCCAATGACATGTATAATACCTAGACTGACGATTCATTCATTCATTTAAATGCATTTTTAAGCGTCGTCAAAAGCAAATCAGCTGCACCCGCCATTTTGGTAACGCATAATAGTAATTATTCTCATGTTTAAAAAACTACTATTAAATTGAATAACTTGCTTCCTTTAATTATCTCGATGATCCGGTAATTCTTTAAATAAAGTTTGCATCAGTTATAGGAATATATTAGGCTCTCGTAATTGGTGTATCCAAGATGGCGTCTCCAGCTGATTTTGCATTGATGTGTACACTTTTAAATGAATGTCATCGTCAGTCTAGGTATTATATAAGTCATTATGATCAAAATAACGTGATGTAAGCCCGAAGGTTTTGCACATAGGCTGGCAGAAATGCGATGCCCACGCATAAGATTATTTTAGCTAAAATCTTAGCATCTAGCGGTAGTGTTTGTTAAATTAAACTAATTTTAGTTCAACTATAAAACAGCGAAGCCATGTTTTTTATTCAAAAATATTCGAATCGATCCTGAGACTCGCACTCGACTTGGAAGGCTCGATTCATGTTTTTAGCGCTAAAAGCTTGACTGAGGTCACGATAGAGATTGATCAAAGTTAGGACGTTTAACAACACTAGACCCAAATCGGGTCTTTTTAACAACACCAGCAAGGGGTAATATGCCATAAAAAATATCTTTTCTAAAACCTATCTTATATTATTTTTTTAGTGGCGTTAAAACGAATAACAAATTTCGGAAAACGACACCGTACCTATAATAAGGTGTATATATCCTTTTCTTTCAAAATTCTAATTGATTTTAAAAAGCATCTGTCATATATGATTTTTGACGGTTCCGAGCGTCAATATTTGGCGGATATGAGAAGCGATGAATCTTACAAATATTGATGCTCAGGACCGTCAAAAAATGGGAAAAGTTAAATCAGAGGGAAAACTGGCCTACATCCTTTTAACTTTCCCCTATTTGAGGGAAAGTAGGATGTAACTGGATACCGCCTTTATAGCTTTGGTATCCCTATGCCTTTATTACTATTAATCAAAAATTTTCGATATTACAAATATAGAAAAGAAAACAATAATGTCTATAAACAGATAATATAAGATTATTTATATAAATAAATATCGTGGGGATGAATCGTTCTGATGTTTTATTATGGTTTTGAAGATTTTTGATTAATTTGTTGCAAGGTCACCAGAGTTAATTGAGATGGCGTCCCAATGGTATGATATCGTGGTTTCCATGCTGGGTAGATTGAATATTAAGGTAGGAGTTTCGATGGGATTCCCCCCCCCCCCGAAGAGAAAAACTTCCTCCTGCTGTAGTGTTAATTGTGCCGTTAGGATTCTGTCACCGAATAGGTCGAGATGTTCCCGCTGGGCCATCCAGGTTCGCGAGGGCTCATCGGCTGGGTTATCCTCCGATGGGATCCATTTAATATTTTGCGAGACACTGGTGAAGTTGGCTAATCCGAGTTTCTGTAAAATTTGCGTTACGACGATCTCTATGGACAGGGATCTTGATCCTCCTTTCCTACCGTTGACCGTGACTAAGGGCCAATATAGCGCCCATTCCTGCCGCCAACACCTCCTTAGACGGCGGCTCGACAAGTGTCTGCAAATATTCAGAACACTCCTACCAACAACTCGAGCTAGGACGAGATCTAGCGGCCAAGGTCCTAGGAGTCGTCAACCATTATGCATATACCATAACCGGGATGTCTAGGCTATTCTCACCATACTACATCACGATAAACAATGCAGCCCTCACTCCGGTCACTGACACTTACCTCGCCTTCCGAAAGGCTAGCATAATAATCGAGGCAATGAAAGAGCCCCTAGCCCTACGATACTATGTAAATACACCGGTCTATACGGACGCCTCGAACTCGCACATAGGGATTTGTCTATGGGACTCCGAATTCACATCCGTTTCTTACAACGAAGCCTGCCTCTTTTTCAACATCCCTAGTCACGCAATCGGGCATATCAACGCAAAGAAGGTGTTGGCGGCAGGAATGGGCGCTATAATGGCTCTTAGTCACGGTCAACGGCCCATGATTTTTACCGACTCTACTGTGACATGCTACTCTGGTGACCTTGCAACAAATTAATCAAAAATCTTCAAAACAATAATAAAACATCAGAACGATTCATCCCCACAATATTTATTTATATAAATACTCTTATATTATCTGTTTATAAACATTATTATTTTTTTTTCTATATTTGTATTATCGAAAATTTTTGATTAATAGTAATAAAGATAAAGATACCAAAGCCATAAAGGCCTAGGTATCCAGTTACATCCTACTTTCCCGCAAATAGGGGAAAATCGCCCTGGAGAAGAAACGGAGAAGATATGGGGTGACATTTTAGAAAAAAAAGAAGAGATAAAAAACAGAAAGAACGTCGAAAAAAAATGGTGAACTCAGCTGTTAAATGGCTCGATTTGAGCCGATTTTTATAAAACGGCTGACTCCATATTTTAGCCAGAAAACAATATTGCCCATGCCTCGAGATTTCGTTTAATTTCGATGTCCAAACATTTAGTGCCATCTATGAGCAAAATATTCAGGGCTTGCGTAATAGTTTTCTTAATATATTTTTTTTAGATGTAATTTGCAATTACATTCATTTTTTATTTATTTTTATTTAGAGATATTACATTTGTGTTCTTTAAAAGTATGGGATAAAAAAAAGAGAAGTATATCCTTAGTAAAGTCATTTGCTAACAATTTCGAAATACAAAAAAAAAGTATCGTTTTAAATTTGAAGTGTAACATTATTTTTAAAAACGATAGAAGTGTAACATGATAGATTTTAAAACGATACTTTTAAATAGTATCGTTTTAAACTTGAATTGTAACATGATAGATTAAAAACGATACTTTTAAATAGTATCGTTTTAACCTTGAAGTGTAACCTGATAGATAAAAACGATACTTTTATATTAGGTCGCGTATCACAAAATGGCCATTAAAAATTAAATTATTTTTTCAAAAAAAATAATAAAAGTTTCAAAATCAATTGACAATAATGAACTTCGCAATACAATTTTTTTTTTATCGATGTCCCAATAATACCTAAGGACTGACGATGCAATTCATTAAAGGCGTACATCAGTAAAAAAAACAGCTGGGGACGCCATTTTGGTTACCCCTGACGCAAACTTTATTAAAGAAATTGCCTGTTTCGTCGAGATAATAAAGATAACAAGTTATCAATTTAAATAGTAGTTTTTTTTTAAACACGAGAATAATTACTATATTATGGGTTACCAAAATGGCTGGTCCAGCTGATTTGCATTCAATGACGCTTTTCAAATGTAATATTATGAATATACCTTCAGTCTAGGTTATTATTATTCGTTCAAATCAATATTTAAAAAAAATTTTCGGGATATTATTTTCGAGTCAATGATCAAGAATCATGTTTTCGGGGAAAAAAAATTATTTTTCTCTTTCTTCTAAAAAAAAAAAGAAGATTAGATTAAAAGTTTGTTTTATATCACGTGATACAAAAAAAAATCGACATTTTTAAAATAAATCACTATAAAAATGAGAAAGAAAATTAAATAGTGGTATTAGGAAATGGGAGTTGCTTTATTCGACATTCTGTTTTTATATAAAAATTGAGTTGATATTATGACCTACCACCTGGTCCCCAGATATACCGAATTTGAAATATGTTGTAACCGATGACATATAATAATAACTTAGGACTGACGATGGAAAATCAGATTAAAAGATGTACATCGATAAAAAAAAACAGCTGGGGACGCCATTTTGGTTACCCGTGATAATCATTATTTTAAAAAAACATATTTTAAAACGAGCGGCAAATTTATTCCCTATATCCAGACGCGAACTTTTATTAAAAAAATTACCTGATCATCGGGATAATAATAGTAGATTTTTTAACATGAGAAATAATTACTACACGGGTTACCAAAATGGCGGGGTCCAGCTGATTCGCATTCAACGACGCTTTTCAAATGCCTTATTATGAATGCATCGTCCAGTCTAGGTTATCATCATATGTTTTTACGCCCGACCCGCTTCTTATTTCCTAAATCCTTTACTCCTTTTCCCAAAATCTTCAAAAATCCATCATTCCAGTCCCCGGGCGATGAGTAAGAGGACTCCGCCGTAGTGTGACGATTTTATTTTCTCCGACCAATCACGTGTCCGAGCTCAAAAAAAAATATCGCGCAATATTTTTGGCGCTAACTCGACATTGCTAAACTATGCCACCCTACCCTTTCAAAACTTTTCGGATGCATTATGTCTAAAGGCCGAAATTTAAGATGAGGGTCGAGATTCGTTTTACAGCTGATCAAATTTATTTGATATTTTTTTAATGGGGATCGATTCCCTTTATTTTTTAAATTATAATATGATTTTTAAGGAAAAGTTCAATCAGCTGTTAAATAATAAGCGGTATGGATTATAGACGATTAAGCCAAAAAAAAGAAGAAGAAAATCAGCTGTTAGATTGAGTAGCGCAAGTGTCCACCCGTCAATTCATGTCTCTAAATATTTTAAAAATAGAAAAGGGAACAAAAACATATATGAGTTTTAAAAAAGTTCGATCAGCTGTATAATAACCCGCCCCAGGGGTAAATCGGGATCATAGAGATTTAATCGAAAATCAGCTGTTAAATTGAGTGGCGTAAGTGTCCATTCTCTAAATATTTCAAAATAAAAAAAGGAACAAAATACTAATAATTTTCTACAATAAAAAAAAATAGAAACCTAGATCGATGTTGGGAGTAGGGTTTGAGGAGTGGAGAGAATATTTCCGGTTCGTAGGATTCTGATAGAACCATTCTCCTGATCGACAGGCGTAATCCCTTTTTTTTTAAAAAAATTATTTATTTGAAAATTAATATAGGACAAATATTTTATTGATTTTGTTTTTTTTTTATATATAAAAATTGCGGGAAATTAATCAGCTGGGCTGGTTTGGATATTTTTTTTTAAAAAAAAATAAATAAGCTAACTAGGACCCCAACCAGTTGAAATCACGTGATAAATTCTCCTTCTCGAAGGTCTGCAAGACTTCCGTTTTTTTCGCCTAATAATACCTAGACTGACTATCCATTCATTAAAAGCGTACATCGACGGAAAAACAGCTGGGGACGCCATTTTGGTTACCCATGACGCAAACTTTATTAAAGAATTTACCCGATCATCGAGATAATGACGGAAGGTAAGTTATCATTTTAATAGTAGTTTTAAACACGAGAATAATTACTATTATATGAGTTACCAAAATGGCGGATCCAGCTGATTTGCATTCGAAGACGCTTTCCAAATGCATTATTATGAATGAATGCATCGTCAGGTCTCGGTAGTTATTATATGTCATTGATATATATATATATATATATAATATTATAATTTCAATTTGGTAGTGCCCATCCAAAATGAAAAATAAACGAAATACAATTTTGATATGTTAATACATTAAGGTAGTAGTGGCTATCATTTAACCCCGTTCCTATAAAAGTAAAAATAGTAAAGTTAAAATAATATTTACAATTTTTTTTTTGTTAAATTAAACAGAAACACTTAATGAAATGGTATGTGATAATACAACAATTAACTTCCTTTTTATTTCTTTCCTCCCACGAAAAATGAAGGAACTCGACAAAATGCAATCAGTGAAAATGGTTTTAATAATTTAAGTGATAGTAAGGTAGCAAAAAATAATGGATATTATAAAGCATTTCGATTATTTTTCGTTCTTTCTTTCTTTCTTTCATTCTTTTCTTTCTTTCTTTCTTTCTTTCATTTCGATTATTTTTCGTTCTTTCTTTATTTATTTATCTTCCTTCCTTCCTTCCTTCCTTCCTTCCTTCCTTCCTTCCTTCCTTCCTTCCTTCCTTCCTTCCTTCCTTCTTTCCATCCTTCCTTTCTTTCCTTTCCTTCCTTCCTTCCTTTCTGTCTTACTTTCTTTCCCTCCTTTCATATTTTCTCATTAAAATCGATCGTTTTCCTTCCTCTTTCTCCAATTCCTCTTTTTTTGTCATTATTATTTTTATTTTTTTTTTTAAAAAAAAAAACAAACCATTCAAAATTCAAAAAAAACCGAACATTAAAAAGTTTGTCAATCCTTTTTAAAAAAATTTTTTTTATAGTAGTAGTAGATTTTTTTTATTCTCTCTTTTTTAATTTTTAAAATATCAAGAAAACGCCATTAAAAAAATATATTTTGGTTATAAAAAATAAAGATTTTTTTAAAAATTTATTATATTTTTTTTTGAAAAAAATTTTTTTAATGACTTTCAAAAATCATTTTTCGGGACAAAAATATAAAAATTTTTTTAAAAAAAAAATATGGCTTCTTGCAAATACGAGTTAGAGGTCTACAATGAGCAGGGGCAAAATGGCGTTCTTAATATCAAACATGAGGTGATCGATTTAAAAGGGTGAATAACTTTGGCCGAGTGGTTAACTGTTAGAGGTCTAAGATGGGCGGGGCAAAATGGTGTTCTTCATAATATAAATTCGCAAACATGAGGTGATCAACACATAAGGATAACTAACTTTGGCCGAGTGGTCTCACTATTCGAGGTCAGCGATAGACGGGGTTTTAACCCGAATGGCCGCCCATCCATTGTTTTATGAAATATTTCTAACCCGCCAACCGCCTTATGTTTAAAAATCTTTTAGCCCCCCCCCCCCCACCTCTTCCACTCCGGCTAGCGGAATTGATGGGCGAGTTGAGATTCGCACTTCGCGGGTTTGGGATAAAAGCTCGCTCCGCTAGCCTGGTTAAGAAGAAAAAAAATAACGAGCTGGGCAATTTGCGAGAAACATTTTTTTAGGGTCCAGACCGGATAGAGAATAATTTTACGGTTCGTCTTTCGGGTCTGGCCAAAGTTTTACGGTATAAATTAACGGGTCGGTTCAAAACCGGTTCGGTTTTAATCAATATAATATCGTCGAAAAAAAAGAAATTGCGTCGATCACCTTCCCATCCAATAAAATTAAGATATTTGGGAAATGATCTCGAAATCGAAAGAAAAACAATGGCGGATCTCTTGAGGGGTGGGGGGGGCGGGCGGTTTCCGGGACATTTTTGACCATTTAACCCATTCCCTTTTAAACCCGTCTGTTATAATATTCCAACTGTTTATAATCACGCCAATCCAAATCATAATCATTTTTTTCGCATTTTGGGTAGAGATCCATTTTTTTTTTATCTTCTTTGATTTATACGTTAAGGGGAATTTGGACAAAAAAAAATTTTTTCCTAAATTCAAAAAATAAAAACATATGGTATTTTCCCTAGCATCTATCATTCGCGACGCGAAAAACCCCGCTAGCCGATTTTTTTTTAAAAAAAATGGCTTCTAACTCAATATTTTAGCCAGAAAAAATAATATCGCCCACGCCTCAAGATTTCGCTAAGATGGGTCCGAAACCTTTTGTGACCATAAAAGTAAAATCGTTCAAGCTCGGATATCATTTTTCCGCATAAAATACGGACTTAGCCGTTTATAAAAAAAACGCGGCTCAAACGGAGCGATTTTTGAATCGCTTTACCTGATCGCTTATTTGAAAAATTTTTCGGATCGAATTTTTATCATTTTTCCCCGAAGGATTTATTATTCGATTCCTAATCATAATAATGGGATAAAATTTGTTATTTAAAAAAAAATTCCGGATATTTTGTCGGTTATATCATACCCGATCCTATAACCGATATTAGAAACCGGTTCATAAATTATTATTACGAGTTAAGATATAATTTGTATTTTAAAAAAAAATTTCGGATATTTTGCCGGTTATATCATACCCGACCCGATATTTTCGGATATTTTGTAGGTTATATCATATTCGACCCGATATTAGAAACCCGATCATAAATTATTATTACGAGTTAAGAGATAATTTGTATTTAAAAAAAATTTTCGGATATTGGTCTTATATCATACCCCTAAACGATATTAGAAACCGGTTCATAAATTATTATTACGAGTTATGATATAATTTGTATTTAAAAAAAAAATTTCGGATATTTTGCCGGTTATATCATACCCGACCCGATATTTTCGGATATTTTGTAGGTTATATCATATTCGACCCGATATTAGAAACCCGATCATAAATTATTATTACGAGTTAAGAGATAATTTGTATTTAAAAAAAATTTTCGGATATTGGTCTTATATCATACCCATAAACGATATTAGAAACCGGTTCATAAATTATTATTACGAGTTATGATATAATTTGTATTTAAAAAAAAAATTTCGGATATTTTGCCGGTTATATCATACCCGACCCGATATTTTCGGATATTTTGTAGGTTATATCATATTCGACCCGATATTAGAAACCCGATCATAAATTATTATTACGAGTTAAGAGATAATTTGTATTTAAAAAAAATTTTCGGATATTGGTCTTATATCATACCCCTAAACGATATTAGAAACCGGTTCATAAATTATTATACGAGTTATTCAGGATATTTGGTCGGTTATATCATATCCGACCCTATAACCGATCCCGATCATAAATTATTATACGAGTTAAAAGATTTATAAATATGATAAAATTTCGGATATTTTGTCGGTTATATCATATCCGACCCGATAACCGATAGTAGAAACCGGTTCATAAATTATTTCCACTAGCAAAGAGATCCAATATAGGCCACGATTAATTAATCTTTATTAAGCAACAACAAAAAAAACGTATATCGATCATATATAGTAGATTTTATTTTAGCTCATTATTTTAATTTTATATATTTATAGATATAATATATATAACACCAATTATCTATAATTATATAATGTTGTCATTAAAGGGAAAAATTTTTTTCGGATATTTTGTCGGTTATATCATACCCGATCCGATAACCGATATTAGAAAGCGGTTCATATATTATTATTTTGAGTTAAGAGATAATTTGTATTTTTAAAGAAAACTTCCGGATATTTTGTCGGTTATATCATATCCGAACCGATTTTAGAAACCGGTTCATTAATTATTATCGCGAGTTATAGGCCACAATTCATTCATCTTTATTAAGCAACAACAAAAAAAAACGTATATCGATCATATCTAGTACATTTTATTTCAGTTCATTATTTTAATTTTTAACACCAATTATCTATAATTACACAATGTTGTCATTAAAGGCAGAAAAAAAAAATTTTTTTTTTATCGCAGAGGAAAAATGGAATATTATTTTTTTTTAAATTATTTTCTTTACAAAAAAATAATAACACGTAAATTTATTATTTATAAATTTATACTAAAAATTACCTTTTCTATCATTTTTGTAAACTATTATCCATTCCCTTTTCCGCTCACGTGACCCGGCACCTTCCCCCCCCCCTCAGCAAATTCTGGAATTCTAAGCTTTTCTTCCTGGGCTTTCTAACATCTTACAACGCGCATCAAATGACATAATAATAATACCTAGCGAGGTGTTCGTTAAAAGAGTGCATCGATGAAAAACAGCTGGGGACGCCATTTTGATTACCCGTGATCTATATTCTGACGCAAACTTTTATTAAAATAGTAGTTTTATAACATGAGAATAATTACTATATGGGTTACCAAAATGGCGGGTCCAGCTGATTTGCATTCTACGACGCTTTCTAATGCGTTATTATGAATGCGTCGTCAGTCTAGGTATTATTACTATGTGTCATTGCCATGCATACACAGTTAGGCGCGAAATTCGCGCCGATGTATATAAAAATAGCATATATCGTATAATTTGTCGCGAATTTCGCATAACTATGAATGAATGAGGGAGAAGGTTAATAGATTTTAAAAAAACAAATGCGGTTCGAATAGCACGAAGGGTTATCGAATAGAATTGACGGACGATTCAAATTTTTATCAAAATCTTATTATAATAATTATCCCGAATTATTCGAATAATTAATCGAATATTCAAATTATCCGTCGAATAATCAAATTGTGGAATTAAACAATTTCGGTTTTTGTATTCGAAAAGAGCGAATAAATTTACTATTCGGATTCTAAATAAATCGAATATTTGATTCGTTTTCGAAATAGGCCTACATCGGAAAATGATGACTATGAGGATGGACTACGTTCCTTCCATTCTTTCCTCACACCGTTCTTCTCCTTCTGTCATGATTCCTCCATTTGCAGTTGATCCCCCTTTCCTCAATCAATCTAGATCTATCTATCATACCAATTATTATATAAATGATCTTGATTAAGGTGTCAGAAACGTCCGTCATGCTTCCCCTAACAAGATACTTAATTTTAAAATTTTCGAGGTAAACGGTGAAACGTTCTTGCAAGGAATACGATAATCTGGATAGGTTGCCCATTGGATGCATCGAGCATGATTCCAATATTTAGAAAAAAACACTAAAGGACCTTATATCAGCGCTCTCCCTCTTAACCCCTCTCCCCCCTATACGCTAAGACCGACCTGATGACTAAATTTAAAAAATGGATGCGGACTAATGTATCTTGACTAAAAAAGCCCCACCTCCACCCCACCGAAGTTATTTCAATGAGGCACCTGACTCGTTAGTGTCAGAGGCAGAGTTCGAAATGCTATCTAAAATTGATTTCTAAATTTCTTTTTTCGAAAATGTTATATATTTGGATGATTTTAATTTTAAAATTATAATTTTTTTATAAATAAATCTTTTGTGAATTTTAATGCAAAACAAAAAACAAAAAAATCTTTCATGATTTTAATCAAAAATTTAGGAGGAGAAGATTTTTTTTTGATTTTTTTAAAAATAAATCTCTCAATTTTCGATATTCCTAGACTTTTTTGCTGCTGAGGGCTCTTGGCCAAAAGGAGATATTTGACACCTAATTATCATTTCTTAACTATTAAATGAAGTTATAGTAAAATGTACAAACTTAGTTTTGTACCAGGATATTCTTTCAATTTATTCTTAGACTTTTTGGTTGCTGATAAGAGGGCCCTTGCCCTAGAGAAGATATATATCATTTCTTAACTATTAATGAAGTAATAATTATCATTTCTTAACTAATAAAAGAAGTACAGTAAAATGTACAAACTTAGTTTTGTTCCAGAAAATTCTTTCAATTTTTCGATATTCTTAGAACTTTTTGATTTGCTGGTAAGAGGGCCCTTGCCCTAGTGTAGATATATATCATCTCTTAACTATTAATGAAGTAAATGAAGTATATCAAATAGCAACTTAATTTCACGAAAAAAAATAAAATCGATATATACACCAAAAAAATAAAATAAGAAATTTGACAAATTAACGGGGGAATATTCTGAGATTTAATTATATTTTTTTCGTTTCGATCTGACACGCCTTTCAAATTTAGCGGAAGCGTTTTTCCATAAAGCGTTTCTTTAGTTTAAATCGGAGCGGATAACGCGAACTTTAAAATTCGAAACGCGTTATTTGAATCGCTCGTTCATAGTATTTTTTTTTCACGCCCCATCCCCATTTTTGTTCCGCCATTATAATTATAAAGGATAGTTTCTATTCTATTCTTTTCATTTCTTTCTCTCTTTCTTTCTTTTCATTTATTTTTTTCGCTATGTTTTATATAAATTAAAGGAAAATTAATATTATATTTAAAACTTAGATTGTGAATTTTTTTTAAAGCGTTCTTATAAAAAGCAATTAATGTTTCCACCGAATTAATATATATTATTATTTTTTTATATATATATTATAACAGTGTTCTCGTTTGAAATGAGCTTAGCTTTTAGGGGGGTGATTAATTCCCAAAAAAATGGGATTATGGAGGGATTTAAAATATTCCATACAAGCGAGAGAGAATTTTAAAAACAACTTTTGATTTGCCACAAAATAAAAGGAACGTGATTGGACAAAATTTAGGGAAAGAGAGAGATTTCGACCGATATTTTTTTTTATGATTTTACCATTCTCATCATTCCCTTAGCCAGAAGGTCTTCCGTTGAGGGAAGCGCCCAAATGTTTGCTCTCGGAGACCAATTAATATTAATTTTATATGTATATCGGAGACCTGCAGGGATACCATTTAAGCGGCCTGACCCGACCCGTCCCGGCTCGACCCGGAATTTCTTTATCAAAGATCTTTTCGGTCCGGTCCGGGTTATATATTTTTAGGCCCGACCGGATTTTTTAAAAAAATATATTGTATAGGTTCTGACTGATATATATATATGCCATTAGTAAACATAACTTTTAAAGGGGCTTACAAGTTTGATTGGCCGAAATAATGTTGTGATGGATTGGGGGCCCTAACCCTTTAGAACCCGTCACCATAGGCTATTAAGCTAATTTTAATAAAAAATGGATCTAGATACAGATACATCGTCTAAAATAATATCTAGATACAGATATTTTGATCAAAAATCTATCTAGATACAGATACAGATACCACATTTTTATATCTAGAATCCTTTAACAACTCTGAAAAAATAGAGATTTTTAAGTCTTGAAGTCAGAAGCAGAACTAATATAGAAAAAAAATTAAATTTACTCAAAAAAAAAATGTTCTAAATCTAATTAACTGACAAGTGAGAAATAAAATTGAGTTTTATAAATTTCATATTTATGAAAAATATAAATCTTGGCTTCAAATTAATATAATATATCTTTTCGGATATTGGGTGTCATAATGTCGGATGTATCGGCCGACCCCGCACGATATCGATTATCGGGCCAAAGTATCGGATCGGCTAAATAATGTGGCATCAGCTGATCTTCGTTTATTTTACGATTTTAAAATAAAATCCCTGCCCGGCCCTAACCCAGAGGTATATAATACTAATAATATCAATCGCTTTTGATAAAAAAAAATAATTCTTATTTTTATGAAATCTGATTGGCGGAGAGAGGATTCTTCCGGTCTCCTCCCGCCCCAAGCCATTGACGATTTTAATTTTAACCCCCATCCAAATTTCTTTTAAACCGAAAGTAGTCTCTAGATAAAGATACGAGAAAGCTACGAATTAATATGACACAGGAGACCTGTAGAGGTCAAAATTTTAGGCCAGGACCGAATTCCAGGTTTTTAAAAGTCATATGTCATTTTTTCGGTCCGCAAAGTTTGCAGGTCTTCGGTATAAAACAGCTAAATGAACTAATGTCGGCTTCTTAATCAAAAATTTTGGTTTTTTTTTTTAAAAAAAAATTATTAATTTTATATTTTTACATGAGTTTGTAGCACAACACGCAAACCCATCTATCGAATGAGGGTTGTCGATCAAAATTTCGCGCGTTCGACGAATCGTAGTCCCCGCCAAATTGTTCGGACCCGAAATGGCTAAATCTTCGAGTCAGATCCCTGAGGAATGTATGATCATTCTGGAGTTTTGCCTCACCCACGCCATTCGCGAAAGTTGGGTTCTCCTCCTCGTCGTCGATGTGGCCGTTGAGGATTGGTGAGCCCTTAAACTCCGCCGACTCGGGGTAGTCTCGTTGGGCGACGTACGCCGCGCCTCTCCCGTTGGTGGGTAGGTAATAGTGGCGGCACTCTTTGCAAACCTTAGCCAGGCACCTGGGGCATATCGCGCCGGTATCGAATATGTAACCCAACCTTTTACGGCATCGCCTGCAGGATCGGTCGCCATCCGCTCCCGGTCTAAGAGCCCCCCTCACCTTTAGGCGCTTTATCTCGGCCTTCAAATCTCTTTTTTTTTAAAAAAATAAATAAATATTGTAGTTAAAATTTAAAATTAATTTTAAATCTAGCCGTGTCGTTAAGGGCCAATTCCCAATTTTATATAAAAAAAATGGGGTTTGGTCCTGGCGGTTCCAGATAGGCTAAACCCCAGCTGGTTAGACCCAGGGGGGTCGGTCCAAACCATCTTACCTCCGGCTAGGTCGGATATAACTGTAAATTGCTAGTAAATCCCTTATAACTATCGATTGAATAAGTAAGTTTATTATAGAGTTTTACAAAAAAAAAGCTTAAAAAAAATGCAAACTCTTCTGGGTTTCCTAATGGTATATTTCGTAGACCATTAATATATATATATAACATATCAATTTATAAATACAAATAAGTTTAATAAAAATATAATTGGTATACAAAAAACGAAAAACAATTATTTTTCCTTCAACCTTTACCAACCAATTAACGACTAAATTAGATTTTTAATTTAAAGTTATTAAAACAATTTCTTTGCCCCTATCCTGTCCAATCATTTTTATCTAAAAAAAAAATATAAATATCGGTGATTGGTTGGTTTACTTTTGAGATTACATTTTTTTTTCCAATATTAATTAGATTCATTAATAAATATATTATTAAATTTTAATATAATAAAAATCATTAGGATTTTAGATGAATAAAATTAATCTTTTAAATCAGATCACACACACACACATATATATATATTATATTATATTAATCCATTTTTAATATATTTTTTTTCCTTTCTAATTTGATATTAATTCAAAAAAACTAAATTTTCCCAAATAATAATTTAATTTGGCAAAAATATAGGGTTATATTATACCAAAAATACTTAGTAAATTATTAGTAATTATTTTCATTTATTAGATTAGCGATAAACACCTCTTTTCACGCCTTAGTGCCTTTTTTTATTATGTAGGAAACCTTGGGAAAATTATGACGATTTCTAATTATTATTATTATGATGATTATTATTATAAATTTTATTTTTGATTATTTAACGAATATTAAAGATATTATTCGTTATTATAATTATTTATATAATATTTTTAATTGATGTTAGATTCCTTTTTCTGGTTGGTAAGCTCCTTCAATCTCTCTCTCTCTCCACTTTATGTTATTCATGCATGCTATCTCTTTTAATATAATTTATTATACTTCTACATATTGGATCTAACTTTATGGCCCCATTAACGTTTGCCCCATCATTTCCATACTCTCAACCTTATTTCCTACGTAGTTCATAGGCCTTCTCATTGAACAAGAAAATATCATCTATCCCATATAATAATGATCTTTCCAAAATATATATATACATATAAATAGTCATTTTCCTCTAAAAGCTTTAAAGGCAGAATTGTTAAAGTAAAAGCGATACTTTTTAAAGTAACGGTAGCTAATAGGAATAGCGGCATCGGTAGCGGTAACGCGCTCCTATCTAGAAAAAAGTAATCAAGCAATGAGCTATATATATATAAAAAAAAATTCACTTTAAAAATTTTATTTATAATTTTTAATTTTTAAATTTATATTTTAAAAACTTGCTTTATAAAATTATATTTAAATTTTATCGAGCAATTTTTGAAATTATAAAAAAACTTCAGGAAAGTTAGAGATAGACATGGGAGAGAATTTTGGAGAAACAGATGATAAACCACGTGATTCCACCTAGAAAAATTGATACTCCTAAATCCTCTTTCCCTTCATAAAATTTAGATTCATAAAATAAGCCAAGCATTCAACCCCCCCCCCCCCAAAACTCATTATAATAATCCATCCTTTTTCTAAATTTAGAATGTCCCACACCTAAAATTTCTAGATAATATTGGTGTGGTAGAAGAGCTACGTCAGATCAATGATTGACGGTACATTCATTAAAAGTGTACATGAATGAAAAACAGCTGAGGACGCCATTTTGATTACCCGTAATCATTATTAAAAAAAATATTTTATAAGGAGAGGCCAATTTACTTCCTATAACCTGACGCAAACTTTATTAAGGAATTTGCTCTGATCATCGAGATTAAAGGAAGCAAGTTATCAATTTTAATAGACGTTTCTTGACATGAGAATAATTGCTATGCGGGTTACCAAAATGGCGGGCTCCAGCTGATTTGCATTCAACGACGCTTTTCAAATGCATCATTATGAATGCATAATCTATGTAATTGCATCAGATAGATCAAATGTAATTAAAGCTAAATCAGAAACCAGGTGTTTCGCGAAAAAAACTAGCTCGTAAAGTGATAATCCATTTTAAAATTTCCTTTTGTCAATTAATCCTCTTATCTGTCAATCTTATTGCATCATCACTTCGGTACCGAGATATCCTACCTAACCTGTTCGCAGAATTGGCGACGAGGACTTTGGTACAATCATCAAGGAATGAAGGAGTCTTTAAAATTAGATCTTTCGGATGTCTATTGCATCTGCGCACAACAGATATTCGATATCAGTGTTACGTATTCAATATTTTATCCAGAAAAAAATATTACCCTTGCCTGAAAGATTGGTCTAAATATCTATTAGAGAAAATCTCGAGGATTAGGACTACACATTTCTGGATAAAATATTGAGTTAGAGTTGGGACTCATGAAGTTAAAATACCTGATCTCATATAAACTTAATTGGATCCAAAGAGAAGCTAAATGAGGTTAATCGGTAACGTTGACTAATTCTAGAAACAAAACGAGGATTCAATTCTAAAAAAAAATACTCAAATGCTACTTTGCACACCCAATTCAATTAAGCTAACCATTCATTTACATCATATTTTTGAATACTTTTTTTCACCGCGAATTCGCGCTAACCGTAAAATAACAGGGGGTTAAATTCTCTGTATTTTTCCCCTCAAACCCGGGATGGATTGGTTATCCGAAACCGAAAACCGGCAACTATCCGTATTCACCGGTTTTAATATTTATTTAATTTTTTTTTATAAAATAATCGATTTAAATAAGGTGTATTCGACCCTAATTTTAGGGGTGGGTAATAAATAATATTATATTATAAATTATCTATCGGAAACCAAATAAATTTAAATATTTTATTTAATATTTAATATATCGATTATTTTTTACCTATTTTTTCAATAAAAAATAAAATTAATTATATTTATTTATATATATAATTAATATATTTTTTTTTGATTTTTCATTTTACCTTTTGGATTTAAAAATAATATAATTTTTTTATATTAATAAATAAAATATATAAAAAAATATATCTAAATTAATTTTCGAATTAAAAAATGAGAAAGAAAAAATAAAAGGGGGGGAGGGGAAATTTTTTTAAAAAACGTGACAAAATAAATTAACGAAAATTCAATATGATTTCTACTTTCATCCCTCTTTTTAAGGGTTCGGTCGGAATCGCTGGTTTTTGATAGAGCCATAAAATGTAAAATATAAACGCGGAAAAAATGACTCCCTGGCGTATTGGCTGATTTTTTTTTGTTTTTGGCCAAAAATAAGGTTATTTAGATTATTCAAGGAAAACGTAACTGATCGATAGTGATGCTAAGTCTGTCGCGGGAGATGGGCTGACAGTTAATCTTAAGATAGCCTTACTGTGACATTCATTGAAGGGACCAATGAAATCAGGAGGAATGAACCCTGACCGGTCCGAAGATTCAAGGCATCTCTAACCCTAAGCCAAACTTATTTCTAAACTCAGCATGATCACACTAACCCCCGAACTAAACACCCCCTTAAGATTGTTTCAATTCCTGTTTTTTTCATTTTTTCAGCCAATTAAATAGGAGAATTGTGGAGGTCTTAGGGCTCGGCCATTTCTCTTGTTCTTAGTTTCTTGATAAAAATACCTTTTTAGTGACTGACATTATTTTTGATGATTTTTCGACACCTTTCAGCATGTAATGTTAGAATGTCGCTAACTCTAGGGAACTTTTCTAGCAACTCTTCATATTTATAAAAAAAAACAAATTCAATTTCTTCAATTTCTTCCATTTCACATTTGTATTTTATAATCATTCACATAACCAATCGATAACTAATAATAAATAATCCCATATCAATATTTATCAATAATTTTTCGATATTATTATTTGAGTCTATTATTATTATGAATTATTTGTCATTAATACTTTTTATTTCTACTAGTTTCTATTAATACTTATCATACATCATACAAAAATAAAATATTAAAAAGGCATGGGAACATACAAAAATATTATATTATTATTTTTGATTATAATTTATGGACATGTTTTGTGGTTTATTATATATATATGTATATTCAAATAATAGCAAAAAAAAACTTAAAATAACCATTAGCAAATTTAAAAGAGGTATAATTAGGTGGTGGTAAAAATCGCAAAATATTTTTCTTTTCTCTTTCTTTCTTTCATTCTTTCTTTTAATTTCGTAAAAATCGTGAAATGTCGCATCCATATAATAGTAATAATAATTTAAAAAAATGAGTGCTAGCGATTTGTTGCCTTTACGCTTTTGCGTCAGATAAGTCGCTTCGTTTAAATCCTATTTTTTGAGCCGAAGGCGTCGACAAGTCTAAAGGACGAGGCAAATCAGCTGATTTGACATACACACAAATACGAATTCTCGTAATATTTATCAAATCTATGTAACTCCACTCGAAACATCCAAAATCTAATTTTATGTATCAGTAGAACGATACCTTTGTGTACAGCTCCAAAAAGCGGGAATAGGGGGGTAGTAACAGTTATCCTTTACAAGACCGGAACAGTTATAACTATTTTTTTTTAGCTTGAACCGATTCGAACCGCTAAATGAAAAGGCTTTTAAACCGGTTCGAAGTCCAGGGAATACCCTAAATGTTTCGAAAGATTATTAGTTATATTTGTGGGCGCAATAAATAAATTAAATAATCTGTAGTGGCTTTTGTGTAAGGGTCTCGGGTGACCTTTCTCTGCACATAATTCTAATTCTTTTCATTATGCGAAAGAAGTCCAACCCGGTTTATAAAGGTTCAACTCGAACGGATATTACCGAAAGCATAACCCGTTATTTTTATCCAAACCGAAAATGGCTACGGTTCGAATAATTAGAGTTGTTGATTTGAGTGGCCAGATCAATCTTTCGGGTCGGTTAGACTTTTGGGTTCGATGGGAATTCGTCTCCTAAGATGGAATGAAAAATCTTAAAAAATGGGGTGGGGGTTGGCGAAGAGGGGGGGGGTTATAGCTGTGATATTTGGAATTGGTGAAAAGATTTCTTTTTGAATACAACAATAAGAAGCCAAAAATTTTGATCCTCCTCAATTTTGACCAAAAAAAAAATGAAGATATCGTATATCAGCTGATCCGATAAAAGAAAATATATAATAGGTATGGGTTTTTTGACCCCCCCCCCCCAAAAAAAAACAACTAAGAAAATACTTCTGTTTCTTTACGGAATATAATTAACACATGGAGATATCTTTGCAGCATTCATAGATATTTAAATTTATCGTGCAAATGGATAAGAAAAATTTCTTCGTCTTTTCTTTCCTTTCCATTCCTTCCCTCCATACGGATTTTAACGAGAGTGGATGGGAGGGTGGGGGGGGGGCTGCCCTTTTTTCAAAAGACAGCTGGCTCACTACTTTATTACATAATCTATCTTTGAATTTATTTTATCTTTTTTTTTAAAATAATATTATCATAATTATTATATTTATCGATAAAAAATTCAGGTGCTTCTTATATAGAAAAATAAAATAAAATAAAATAAAGCCAATTACAACAAAGAAAAAAATAAATAAAATAAAACCAAATTACAAACAAAGAAAAAAAAAATAAAATATTATAACACGTTCAAAAAAAAAAATTTACATTACAAAAAAATAATAAATTATCTAATTCAAATCAACGAGCTATTCGTATTCGAAAATTTCGGATAAAACCAGTTACGGATAACGGATATTTTTTTATTTGAATAAAACCCACAAGAAAGCATAAATCGTAGTTGGGTAATGCCACTCTAATCTATAAGGCGCGTTCGATAAGCAAGAAGACGATTTACAATATATGTCCCACTATGCCCCCACCTTTCTATTCCATTTTTTTTTAAAAAAAATGTTCTTTATTCTTTCGGTCAAAAGGAAGAAAAATAAAAAAAAATATTAAAATAATGTAATAAAAAAAAATTAACATAACGATAAAAATCAATATTTTATTGAAAAAAACGAAATAAAATTACAAATACAATATTATAATTTATTATCTATACAATAGATAGTAAAAAAAAAAAGAATAACATACCGAACGTCGACAGTTAAAAAGCAATTATTTATTTTAAAAAAAAACTTTTTGTTTAGAGGATGGATATGTCAAAGTTTGCTCAAAGAAGTTAATGATGTGTAACATGGTAGGTCTTTTTATTTTTAAAAACCTGCTTTTTTTAAAAAAAAATAACTGATAATGGCGTAATATTATTCATCCTTAATTTGTGTAAAGGCAATAATATTTGTTGTAAAGTTTAGCTTGCAATAAATTTAGATTTATAATTCCTATCTTCCTATTTTCTTCTTTTTAAAATATTCTAAGATAATAAGCGTAAGAAAATTATATATTAATTACATTAATTTGACCTAAGTATAACCCAATTATCAATCTTATTATTTTTAATTTAATTTGCATTTTAGTGGATTATATTTTTAATGCCGATTATAGTTATTGTGCATTTTATAGGCTAGCTTAAAATGGTTTAAAAAAATTCTTTTGTTAATTTTGTATAAATTGTTGATAAATTTTTTATTTTTTTTATACTTTTTATTTATTTTAAAAAAAATGATAAAACACTAAAATATTAAAACAAGTATAAAAGATATGTAAAATTACTAAATAATATAAAATAAATATATATATATGTTATAAATATCGAAGGCTCTAAAAAGGGCTTAATTTTATCATGAATATGTACCTAAAAAGTAAGTATAATTGTGTTTAAAAATTTATAGCTGGAGTTTTTGTTTAAGAAATAAGGAATATATGTTAAACTGGAATTTGAACGGGTCCAATTAGGATAAGGCTAACCATATATTGGAGCACCTACAGCCAAATTTTTCAAAATAACAATAGTTTAAGAAACAATTTGCTCCCAAATTAACGATAATTTTTGAAACTTAATAATAACTTTAACTCAAGTTGCCCCTTAAAAAATGCAAGATACCTATAAATAAAATAATAAACAGGGTTAAATTCATTCAAAAAAAAAATAAATGTTTGGAACTGGAATCAGAACTTCTTTTATATAAGTATTTTTTATTGTTTAAAATGGTGTTTGATTCCTTTTAATTTATTTATTGTTTAAATTTTTTTTGATTGCTTCGTCAGAATTAGAAGCATTGTAACAACATCAAATTTAGGCATCTGATCCTGCCTTTCAAAATTTTTGGAACCAGAAACAGTTTTTAAAAGAATATTCATAATCAAGACCCTATAGAGTCCATATTCAAATCTCTGAAAATAAAACTACATAAGTGCCAGAATCCAGAATGAATAAGATAAATCTATTAAATAAGAGAAAATTTAGATTTGCATATAGGTTTTTCAGTAATTAAAAAAATACTATTGTTAATATATATATTTTAAGGTAACAATTAATGAAATCTATAAATATTAATAGGATCAGGGGATGTTCAAAATTTTATATATTATAAAATCGTTTTAATTAATTTTATTGGCTTACACTAATCTTTGTGAATCTTTCCTTTGCAAATCGGCATTCCTTTTTAGAACATTTAGAATTTTATCTCGTTCTTTTTCATCAAGATGCTTTAGATCAAGAACTAGCATTTATATTATTACATAGCGCTAGTTTCTTAAACTTTTCCAAATTTTAAATTTTTGTTGAACCGAATTTATTAAAGGTGTATGAGATCAGCTGTAATAGTTTTTATTTTTGCTAACAATAATAATAGTAATTATTAACTATTTTATAGGTTTAAATGCCTTTATTTGAAAATTAATGGTATTGTTGTGTTCGATTAATTAAATAAATTTTACTCATAATAATAATAGTAATATAAATTTTATATATAATCCTTGCAATAGAAAGAAAATGTGCCTCGCTTTATCATGGATTTTATTTATTTTTTTTAAATTAATTTTAAATTAAATAAAAAAATTTGCTCCATTTACTCAGATTTTTTATACTTTTATACAATAAATATTGACTCAATTTTTTGAGATTTTTTAGTTACAAGATTCTTTTATTTTGTGATTCTTAGTTTTGTAAAAATTTTGATTTTAGTTAAATGATTATACTCGTCAATTAATTAAATTATTAATGATTTAATGGTTTTTCTATATATTGGATTCATTATAATAGATTATTATTTGTTAGTTGTATATTGAATTGGATTTGGTTAAATAAACTATAATAAAATGACAATTAAATTACGATTGATTCAATGAAAATAAATACTATACGAATTAAATAAGGTTAAATTATATAACTTCATATATTACGTTTTGAAAATACATAAATAAAATTAATATTTATGTTACAAATATATTAAGCCTGGCCAATTATGAGGAAATGTAAGCGATCATAAAAATTAGGTATTAAATTAATGTTCTTGTTAATTTTATATTTATTAATTACTATAAAACAGCCTATTTTATTTATTCAGGGGATTGTGGGGGGGGGGGGTAGGTGTTATTAGATTAATTTTATTTTATATGCAAATTCAGTTTCCGTAGGATTTAAAAATAAATGATAATTTTAAAAAAATATATAAATTTCAATGAATGCTTAGTGTATTACTATCAAATTTTTCTTTTATTACAAATTATTTATATTTTACTATAATAAAATGGCTATCTGGAGTCTTGGTCATCATGCTGGAAGATTTTTTAGAAAATCTTAAAATTAATAACTTTTTATACATTTTATTTTAATACTTAATAAATCATTTGCATTACATATTATTAATAATATAAGAAATTGGATATCATCAGAGTTGGGCAGTACCGCGAATACTAGTATCTAAGATATAAGATCCTTTTGCATTTGTAATCAGTAACTTTTTACATTTTTAATAAGATACTAATCTAAGATGCTTTATTCTGAAAATAATCCTATATCTTTTTCATTTTCTTGACAAAAAATACATATCCTTTTTAATATTCATGTTTAAAAATTTAGATATAGTATATATATCTTATTTTCTTCGGAAATCTTGTATTATTTTCTTTATTTTTTCCACCATATTAAAATATATTGACAACCAAAATTATCTGAAATTTTTTAAATTCATATTAAGACAAATAGATATAAAATAACAACACCAAAACGAAATAAGTAAAGATTATATTTTATATATAAATAAATGTAACTCAATAGAATAACACAATATTATATAATATTTTTTAATTTGTAGGATGATTAACACTCATGGTAGTGAAGAAGAAGGTAGTGAAATTTAAATTATGAAAATTAGTTCCCCTAGATCAAATCCCAAAAATTTTGGATGGGAATTTTTTATATAAAAGTAAAAAAAAATATTGTACAGTCTGAATATAAAACCTGTATAGACAAAAAAAGGATAAAGGGTTAAACACAAATTTTGTTAGACATATTAAAATATATATTTATATGTCGTTATAAGGGACATAAGTTATCTTAAAAATTCAAGTTTATTGTGTACCTTTAATAAAAGCTGCCAAAGATTTTAATTATAATGAAACTTTTTTGACATCTATATTACGATTTAGTCGGATGATATAAAAAATACTTTCATATATTAATAAGAGAAGCCCTAAATATAATATCAGAGTATATAATCAGGCTTAAACTATAACATCAATAAATTTAACATCTAATAAAGAAAATGATGATTATTTTTCTTTTGGAGAAACAAATTTTGCAGAGTTTGAACTGGAGGCTTTATATTATATTTAAAAAAGTCGAAATACATTTATTTTCAATGCTTAATTATTATCCTTTCATTAAGAAATTATTTTAAAAATATAATACTACAACCTTTATCGGCTCCAATTGAAAGGCTATTTAGTATTGGCACAATGTTAAGAACGATGAAACGGCAAAGGTAATGATAAATTATTTGAAAAATTTGACCATCTTATAAAATAATAAATCATTTTAAATACCCTTTTGCAAATTAATATTTCAACTTTCTTTAAAAGAGTCTCACTTCCCTATCTATGCCAAGAATGGGCTAATACTAATATTAAAATGTCTGATTATTATAAATAACTCATCATTAAATATTATATTAATTATTGTAAATATTTATTCTTATTATATGCGTATGTTAGGTTTTCACAAATAAATAAAAAATAACTGTATTCTATTTTATAAACTATTCTTATTTAATTGGTAATGATAATTTTAAAGTATCTTATATTTAAGATATTCTAATTTAGCAAAAGATACAAGTATCTTTTATCTTTTTGATATTTTTTTTATAAGAATTTGTATCTCTATCCAGATTCTTCAGCTAACAACAACTTTAAATGTTACATTTTGATAATCCTCTATTTTTTTTATAAAAAATAATGCTAATTGTTCGATCTAAAAGATATAAAATTTAATATCGTTTTAGTTAAACAATTTGTAAAGTGATTGAACGCATAATAATAAAAATTTTGAACCAAATAAAACCCGATTATAACTTTTAAGGCACAACTTAAATTTAACAAAAAAAAAAATAAAAACCAATTATATTAACAGACAAAATGTTCAATTCATACACTTTGTTCAAGAAGGCCATTTAAAAATTTATACATTTACTTCTAGTGACGATGGAAATCTACTACTCTAGGAATGCTAATGTTGTAAAACGGCTTGATTTGAGCCTATTTTTAAAGACTAACTAAATATTTTTGTAAGAAAAATATTGCATACCTTGAGGTTTCGCTAATAGATGTCTAAACCATTGTGCCATCCAGCATCTATATGAGCGGAGGAGGGGGCTGGGGTTAGATTCAGTTTGCCTCCAATTTTTATAAGGGGAGAGAGGTAAGGGGTAGGCATTTAGGTGGGGGGAGGTATAGGATAAAATTATTAAGGAGGGGGGGGGAGGGGTTATCATTAAATTTTTTAATTAAATATAGCAAAATGTATTGTTAAAAAATTAATAGTTTTATCATAGGCTTAGCCAAAGGGGGGAGGAGCAAGGGGAAATTCCCCTTCCCCTTCAGAAATTTATCACTTTTTGTAAATGTCATTTTTAGCTAATAAAAAATATCCCCTTTAGACCTCATGTATGCATATATCTTAAACAATAATTTGAAAGAAAGAATGTAAAAGTTGATATTTTTTTATAAAAATATTCATCGTAATTTATACATTTTTGGGAAAATAAATATAAATAAATAAAATGAACCAAAAATGTTTTTAATAGATGGAATATAAGCCAAAGATAAGTCTTAAGACAACAGTGATATGTATTATAATGTTAATATTAGATCCATAAAATTACTAAATAATATAACATATCAAATATAATTTTTTATAAAGTGAGTAATTTTAATTTATTTATCTAAATAAAAGTAAAATATATTTATAAAACTATTGATAAAATTAAATAAAAATATTAAAACACAATACAAACAGTGGAATATTATATGTCGTAGATTTTCAGTATATCTAATTTTATCAATTGTCATATGACAATCAAGTAATTTTTACCAATATAGCGAATTATATATTTTACAGAAAACTATAAAATATTGATAAGGACATCAGAAAATATCTTTTAAAGACATTGTGGGATGAATAATATGAAGATTAAATTTTAATATCAATTTTTACTAAAAATAAATAAATGGCGTTAAAGCAAATTGTTGCTATATTATTATCAAGAGCATTGATTAGTAAAACTTGTTAAATTATTAACTGTAATATATTCTCTAACTGTCAAATATGTCTGTAAAAGTAGAATTTTACCTAGCATTTTGTAACTAATTCTTTATAATAGAGGAATATCAACTATATATCTATTTACTTTTTATAAATAAATTTCTTATAATTGTTTGGGAATAAATTATTACCATGCTTTTATATTAATGTATATACAAGTAATTTATTATATTTTATGTAAACTAATAAAAATATAAATCATATTTGTTCCAGGCTTATTTTTTTATTAAAATTTTTAAAAATATAAATCATATTTGTTCCAGGCTTATATTTTTTTTATTAAAATTTGTAAAAATATTTTATGACTATATATAGACTAAAATAACCCGGCCGAAGGCCCCACCAATAGGGGGTCTGGAAGCGAAGCCCCCAATAATTTTTTAATCCCCTTCCCTCTTAGGAAAATCCTGGCTACGCCTATGAGTTTTATTATATATTAAAATACTATAAAATCTTAGACATTAATTTCCATATAAAACTATTTCCGCATAATTTTCTATTTGAAAGTATATTGGACATTCTATCAGCAAACTCATATTCGTGCCAAACAATTTATAATGATGCATTGAAGGTTTTTTCTCAAATGAATTCATGTTTTAAAAAATAACTCTTTTATATTCACAATATTTTATAGTGTGTGAGTAATAGATCATTAATAATTTGAGTTATTCTTTTTAAAATTTAAAAAGGATAGAGTACCATTATAATTCAATGCGATTAATAATGTATAAACGATAATTTTTTAAAGGTAATGGGCATAAGTTTGGAGGGGTAGCATCCAGTGAGTATTCTGTCATGTAGACGTTGTAGCTAATCGATGACCAAAATCTTCAGGCTCGCTTAATATTTTTTTGGGATTAAATATTGAGTTAGCCGTTTTTAAAAATAGTCCAAGATAAAGTCATTTAATAACTAACAATTGGCTTTTATTTTTATTAATCAATTAAAAAAATTA